CTATCCCTGTATGTTAAGCCAATTTTCCAATCATATAAAATCATAGTGCGAAATTGTTCACGTGAGAGTTGAAAACTCATATCGAAAGTGATGCGAGGGTGACATGAAAAAAAAGAAAAAGTACAATGATGGGTAATGCGTGGACGGCTGAAATTTCGCACATAGTCGTAAATATGTTTAAGTATTATAGCGGAATAGATGTCCTCAAATTACCATTTCTAGAAGAGCTGTATGAAAAAACTTTTGTAGTGCCCTATGTAAGTCAAAATGATTGTGACACTCGTAATCAACGCTAAGAACCACATCGCATTGAGTCAGTTCTAGGGACATGTTTCCTATGGAAACACATTCTTCTATGATACATGCGACACATGGTGAAAATGTGTTTCGAATCTACTTAGTATGCCGCGCATGTTTCATTTTTTTTTCTTTTAACCAATAAGGACATTTTTTCTATTTAATTCGATTTAAGTATTCCTATTCTGAAAATGTAAGCCAGTCAGATTGTAAGATCTGTGAGTCTTGAATTGATTCGACATCGATCAGATCGCTTCGGAGCCGTCCTCTCTCAATCATCGATCGAGTTGCCTATATGTAACTGTGTGTGCAATACCAAACGGTGAATGAATAGTCAGCAGACAGAACACGGCACATTCTAATTGCAACACATTTTCGTGATAGAGCTTGTCACACCCACAATTATCGGCACGTAAGTGTGACACATTTTATTTTTAGTTTTGCCAGTTTTTCATGAAATAAAATTTCTCTAGAACTTACTTAATTCAATGTAGTTTTTAGTGCTGATTCCGAATGTTGCAATCGTTTTGACTTACAATCATGTCTTGCCAATGAAAAAGACTAGACATTTTTATTTCTTTTGAAAAAAACTTAAAAATCGCTATCAAAAAGAGGCTGGTGAGCCCCATTTTCCTTTAAAGATGAACTTCTCTTTTGCATATTTTTTTACCACTTTAGAAAGAGAGTCATGAATTTCCCATATCATCAGTGAACATGTCGATACTAAATTGCGTCATCTAAAAACGGGCTGCATTGTTTCCATCTGACGTTATTTACTTATTTAGGCGAACGCGTATGGCTGCGCTAATTTCTGCATTCATTTTGACTGTGGCGACTGTTGCATTGATTACCATTGCGGTGATCTTCACTAAATGTAAGTACATATGTATTCGCTCGTATTCTTATTTAACTAGCATTTATCGAAGCAGCCAAGACATCAACACATAGCGAGATCAACATCACCACACGTGAGGTCTATATCTATGGAAAAACTAAACCCTTAGCCTATACTTTTATAGCCGTCGCGACAGGAATAGCCACAAGAAGTTTAGCAGTGATTGTAGAAAGTTCGTTAGTGTATTTTACTCACTTACTGAATAGAATTTAAAACTGTTCTAGCATCAATGTCGACAACTGCAACTACTTCCATCGGATCGTCACCAACGAGTGAATATCTTCCTTTATAATGGACCACTAATTCATTGAGACCTTCTCTTCATTAGCTATACCAATAGCAGACATCACTACCACCACATCTTTAACAAGTATAACATCGGATACCACTACAACGGTGATGGAAACGGCAACGACTACATCAATAACCGAAACAACAACGACTACATCAACGACCGAGACGACAATGACTACATCAACAACCGAAACGACAACGAGTACATCAACAACCGAAACAACAACGACTACGTCAACGACAGAGACGACAACGACTACATTAACAACAGAAACAACAACGACTACATCAACGACCGAGATGACAACGACTACATCAACAACCGAAACAACAACCACTACATCAACAACCGAAACGACAACGAGTACATCAACAACCGAAACAACAACGACTACATCAACAACCGAAACAACAACGAGTACATCAACAAGCGAAACAACAACGAGTGCATCAACAACCGAAACAACAACCACTACATCAACAACCGAAACGACAACGAGTACATCAACAACCGAGACGACAACGACTACATCAACAACCGAGACAACAACCACTACATCAACAACCGAGACAACAACCACTACATCAACAACCGAAACGACAACGACTACGTCAACGACAGAGACGACAACGACTACATTAACAACAGAAACAACAACGACTACGTCAACAACCGTGACGACAACGAGTACATCAACAACCGAAACAACAACGACTACGTCAACGACGGAGACGACAATGACTACATCAACAACCGAAACAACAACGACTACATCAACGACCGAAACAACAACGACTACATCGGTGACAACCACAACAACCTCAAAGACAACGACGACGACATCCGAAAGTATGTGGTTAAACAATCAACAAATATCTAAGCATTGTATTTAATAGGGGCACTGTTGACCTTTCGTTAAAATTTGACTTGTTATAGCTTGATGTTATATAATCGCGATTCCGGATGTGTATGATTAGGCTGAATTTCTGATAGCTCAGCTGCAGTCTAGAGCTTCCATTGCAATGAGAATTCAATGATGTGCTCCTCGTCGTTGAAATACCGAGTGTGACAAAAGTTTTGCGACATTGTTTGTTCTGCATGTGCCTCTGCTCAGGAGGATTACAAAAATTTCATCGTTTTTCAAAAGATACGTCATCGAATTCTCCACAAACTTGGGTTTTCTCTTATGTAAAACAATTGAACTGAACATTTTTTGTAGATAGAATAGTGTGATTATATGAACTAGTTCTATTTCCCACACATTTTTTTCTGTTTTTCCAATGATCTTTCAAGTTATAAACAGGCACGCAAGAGACCTTCTATTTGTAAGTTGAGTCTATATCAAATGCTCTTTTAGAATTATTTGTAAGTGTTTCATAACAACTCGTATTTGTCTAAAAGCTATGACCTGTTTGAGCTGCTGCAAGTAAATCGGTCTTCTAGACACTATTCGAATTCTTCTGCCACCTGAATTATTTTTTCATGAGTTATTTGGACTCGGTATAGAAGGAGAAATCAATTTGCTACAAAATGTTGCAAAAATGAAAACGGTTTGATCCTAAGTGACTTTTTTAGAATGCTTTCTTTGAAAAGGAACAACCAAGTATGAGAATCGCGCTATTGTTAAAATATCACCATGCATCTAATGAAAAGAATAAGCATTCAAAAATTTCCTATATATAAATAATTGACGGAGGATTTCAAGAGCTGTCTAGCAATAAATTATGTTCTACGAACTAAATATTTGCTTTCACAGAAAGAATAAATTACTTAAAAAATGTGTGCAAGGTATAGAACCAGTTCATACAATCACACTGCGATCTATACAAGTGTTCAGTTCTATTGTTCTAAATTAAGGCGAACAGATGTTTGTAAAGAATTCGACGGCTCATCTTTTAAAAGAAAAAACTCAGCTTTTTGTCAGAATTCTAAACATATGTGCATGCAACACGTACCCGGTACACATTTTTATGGAAATAATTGGTTTTACCACTTGGAAGGCGAAATTAAAGCACGAAAATCAATTATACTTAGGTTTTATCAGCACATATTAATAGATGTAGATCGTTCATTTGATAATACAATATATAGGAGCTATTTTAGCGCACTCTAAGTAACTAGTAAAATCCATCAGATAATTATCCATTTGCTCGGCTATGTGCTGTGATATGTTAATCATCTTGATATGGATTTAATGAATTCTTAGAGTGCCCTATATTTTCGACACAGCTGCCCCATGCTTTGGAGGAAATCATTTGGAAAAGCATTGATCGGTTTTCCATGAATAGTTTGTTTTAGCTGCTGAATTGTTTTCTATCGTTTCTCTAATAACTATATTGTTGTAGGCACTTCAACAACAAGCACGACAACCAGTAAGATATGAGTGAATGCACTATTCAACGTTTAGATCTCATACTTTTCGCTTTAATTCTAGCTACCAGCACGACCACCAGAACATCTACAAGCTCATGTAAGTCTATACTTCAGCGATAATATACAGGATATCCATTCCATTATTATTGTTGACTCAATTCTCGCAGTGTATCAAGTCACTTTTGAAAGATAATAACAAGTTAACCAACAACCGCTGATGATGAAAAATGAGGGCCTTTAAGTAGATCTTAGAAATTCTTGATGTAGTTGAACCTGTGGAATTCGAGAGTTTTCCTTACATTAAACAGAGTAACTGACAAAAACATTACATTTGTGAAAGAACTTTATGAAATTGCCTTGGAAATCAATTCTAAATATCTTTTGTTTACATTAAAATTAAATTGAGCCTAATTGTAAAATATTATTTATCAAAGTTACCAAATATCTTGAGTGGTTTTCCGCTAGACAGTTAAAGACTAATTCTTAAAACATATTAATATTAGGAATAGAATTGAAAACAGTGTCCAGTTTTTATCAACCAAGACTAGTGTCATTGCTTTCACTATTTTATACCCACTATAAGGTGGGAAACATTTCCAAGGCGATTTGACCAAATTGGCAAAATAGGCTTGATCTCCAGGAAATTTTTAATACAAGTATATGCCACTAATATAAGCAGTCCCTGAAGATACCAGCTCCTGTCATCAAAGTTTAACTTGATTATGATCTCCGCCAAACTCCTATCTTCAGCTGCAGGTAGTCAAAATGATAATTCATTCAAGGCATGTAGTGTTGTTCATCGCATAAGCGAAAGTAAGCTCTCAACATCAGGGGAGAAGGTAGAGCCGGAGTAAAAGTATTTGTTGAGTCAAAGAATCAGTTTTTAGTGCCTTCGAACAGGAGCTTGTGACTTGCCAACGGTAGTCTCAATTTTATGAGAGCGGAAACGGTTAAGCGCAAAGTTTAGGCACAAATAGGCATTCTTTTTTACTGCTGGCGAGCAAAAAAACAAAAATTTTCCAGCATGAAGGAAGAGCTATTCCCGCCACCCTCACCCCGATATTTGCATGCCTGGCTCTTCACTATTGAAAGGTACACATAAGCTATTGCTTGAGGGCAAGTACATATCAGTAATATCTTGAAATTTACTGAATACGTGTCCAAAATTATGATGTTCTTTGGTAGTTGTAGGGAACATTTGATTAAAATCATAGAGAGTAGTGCATGCTTGGTGTATGTATATTTCATTGATCTCTTTCATTAACAAGTGTTTTTCTATTCATTGAACTAGGGAAATAAAAATGTGAAGCATTGTGGCTTCGTCGCATCCTCCAATTCTTACATTCAAGTATTTTCTATGCAATAGGAACACTGGAAAGACAGACGTTTGTGTTTATCCTACTTTCGTCTTGCATCCTTCTCTTATTTCACTGCTACGAAATAATGAGTATCTCGATGATTTTCATTCTTTCGGATTACGGTAGCACCTGAGAAGTCGTATGCACAAGATGTTTTCTTCGACTCTTTCGTGGCTTCTTTTATATGAGAGGAGGGCGAAGCTCCGATGAAAGTTCTTAAATCTGGATATAGACAGATCTCGTCTTTTATTTGAGCATTACATTTCTGAAATCTGCTATATTGATGTTCATGATTAAGCACGGTCGACTTTATATTCCTAGTTTCGCAAATTACAGTCGTGAACAATAGTAACTACTGGCCCCACCACCACCAACTTCTTTAAAAATCTCAACCGATTAGCCTGAAATATTAGTAGAGATCCATGAGTTGATATCCAGAGCATCAAGGCAAGCTCAATCGAGTAAGAAGTTGATGAGCGGTGAACTGAACATTTTCGCAATGTTGAAACACCTATATCTCGACCGTTTCAAGACACGCCTTGCCGTACAACGTCTAAGTTAATGGCCTCATCTCTATGTTTTCTTCGCTAATAATTGCATTAGAATCAGTTGAAACTTTGTGGAAATATGACTGTCATACTGATTACTCCTATCATTGAGAAAACTATTCCTTTTTAATTCTGTCCTTTCTAACTCACGAGGGAAGGTCCCCAAGTGTGAGTCTCCGTTTCGAATCGGGTATTTGTTATTTTGTAGAGCTCAATGAGTACAGTACCCGCGTATAAAGGATTTCTGCCCATGGTGAACTTTTCAGGAA